GGAGGGATATCTAATACCCCAGAAGGAACAGAATTCAAAATGACCTTAACAGGTTAGAGAGTTGGGCCAAAACTAACAAAATGAATTTCAACAAGGAGAAATGTAAGGTACTACACTTAGGCAGAAAAAAAATGAAATGCAAAGGTACAGGATGAATGATGCCTGGCTTGACATCTGAAAAGGATCTTGGAGTCTTCACGGACAAGAAGTTGAACATAAGCCAACAATGTGATGCAGCAGCTCAAAATGCTGCATCAAAAGCAGTATAGGGATTAAGGAAAGTCATGGTGTCTCTCTATTCTGCTTTGGTCAGACCTCACCTGGAATACGGTGTCCAGTTCTGGGCACCACAATTTAACAGAGATATTGATAAGCTGGAACATGTAGCTATCTGTCAAGGGTATTTTATTGTGTTTCTCCTGCATGGCAGGGGGCTGGGCTTGATGGACCATGCAGTCTCTTCCAACTCTATGATTCTAAGATTCTATGATTCATTGTTTAGCCAGCCAGGACCCATTGTCTCATTCCAGGTAAACAGGACAAAGCTGTTAACACTTATTGAGTCAAATCCTACCCACATTCTTTTTCTCCTGCACCCACCAAGGACAGACCAGGAAAACAGCTACAAGATTTCAAACTGAGCAGGGCGAGTTTATTAAAATTCCCATCAGATCAAGAAACCAATCAGTAACAACAGCAGCTAGCATGTCTCAGTCAACCAACACACAGGTCCTAGCTGGCCCTGGGCTGAGCCTATCTAAAACTCAGAGTAACAGAAGTTCTGCTATCAGAATCCTATAAATATTTCTTTATATTTACATTGTGTTATGTCAGTCTTTAGAGTACAGAGTCTGCTGTTATCCACCTTGGCAAATGTGAGTAAAAGCTATTCTTTTTGTCTTCAACCTGTCCGTGTCTTATTTGAACTTTGGAGCTTGGCCCCGTACCCTCAGTTCTTGAGGTCACTGAAATTACATAACAATAGATTTGGTGGTTTTTATTCAAAAAGCATACTCTGTGCAACTCTGGTTGATAACCTACTGTAAACCACAAGTGCTAGCCCCTCATTATACCATCTTTGTAGCATCAGTAGAGGTCATTCACACTTCAGAATTGTGATGCTATTATTCCATTTTAACTGGCATGGATCTGTCCCATGGAATCCTGAAATCTATAGTTTGGTGAAACACTAAAACTAGCTGGCTAAGAACTCCAAGAACTCATTAGAATACCAATTCCTGAAATCCATGGGATACAAATATAGCAGAAAAAGTGAAATAATAGTGTGTTTATGTTCGGATTTTGCCCATATGACATAATAAGGCCCATCTCTATTGTTTTGGCCCTCAAATTTCAAGGCGTGGAAGAGCTCTGACTTGACAATTCTCAATTTTTCCCATTTCTGAAAGGGACCTTTTTTTTTTTTTTAAATAGCAATCTTTGTCTCTATAGTCTTTCTGTTTATTTAGATTGCAATATGCTTTTGTACAGGGAATTGAAGTTTTACCATTGTACTTTGTCCAGAAACTAAATCGCAGATGGTGGAATGACTTTAATATGGATGTAATATGCTCACTCCTGGATGTTTCTGTAACCAATCTGGCAGCCGTATTTGGAACTAACTGGAGCCTCCAAACTTGGTATAAAAGTAGCCAAAAGTAAAGCGTATTGTAGAAATCCAACCTTGAGGTTACCAGTGCATACACTAGCATCTTCAGGTCCTTCAAATCTAGGACGGGATGCAGCTGTCATATCAGGCAAAGCTGATAATAAGCACTCTTGACTGTCGCATCTACCTGAGTTGACGTTTGGAGATACAGATCCAGAACCACACCCAAGCTGCGGACACAGTCTTTCAGGGGGAGTGTAACCTCATCTAGGACTGGTCGATCCATCTGCAGATTAGGACCCTTGATGGCAAGCATTTCTGCTTTATCTGGATTCAGTTTCATTTTGTTTTTCCTCATCCAGCCCATTACCTCTTCCAGTCATTCATTCAGAGGAGACACGCTATCCTTACCTGAGCCTGTTTTTGAAGGCATAATATATTTAGATGTATGCTTTAATCACTGCTTCATGGCCTACTGATGATCCTTGATCTAATTTTGCTTTGTTACCCTTCCTTCTAGATTCACATCCTTATTTTTCCTGAATCTATTTAGTGAAAAAACAATGTTGGCTCCAACGCAGTAGGGAGCTTATTTTTATTCACCTAAAGGAATGAGACTGGAGGAAAAAACAAAATTAATTTTGACACTAGAATCAAAGTTTGCATGACTATGTGCTTGTGTTTACAGAAATGGTTAATGCCAACATAAACATACATATGTTTAACAGACCTTGTTTCAAGCATAGCAGTTCTTGGATATGTTTTAGAAGAGGCTGTGGGTTTAGATAATTCTGTTGTTTCAGAGAATTAATGACACAATCCATGTGGAGTTCAAACTTAGGCCAGAAGCCCCAAGTCCGGGCAGAAGTAACTCCTGGATGTCCACATGATGTCTAGGGACTTTTGGTCCAATCTAGTCAACCTGATTTTGCCCTACATAACTAAAATCCCTGGGCCATGTGACAACAGCTTGAAAGATGTGGGTTGAATTTAATTGTGGACAAGGTTGGGCTAAGTACATATGCTTTTTCCATCTTTTTTTCAGTTTCAGAAATCTTTGGTGATACTTTTTTAATTCTGTCCAAATGAAAGATCTTGGAGCAAATAATGGGCACAAGACAGCAAAAATTAAACATTTTTAATCTCACAAATTATAAAAGAGTGACATTAAAATTCAAATAAATTGAACTAAAATCCAAAAAGATGTAGTATGAAAAAAAATATGTTTGCTGATGTCAGCAAACATGCCCAGTAATGGCAAGAAGCTCTCCAGGGCTCTGTGGTCAGTTGCCAAAGGAAAAAAAACCCAGCCCAAGTAAGGGTTGCCATCCAGTAGGGCTGAACTGGATTTGACCTGACTGGATGGTCAGGACTCCGCTCCGGCTGCTATCGTATTTCAGAAATGGAGTGTGTAAACCACAGTGCTGAATCTCAGGCTGGTCCCAAGCAGTAATGCTCTAGACCAGTCCTCGATTTAGATGATCATGTAGATGAGTCATCAGTTCCCTTAAAAGCTGCCTGCTCTCTTTGTCAACAATATACAAGGAATTGTTTTGTGGGTTGTTGTAGGTTTTTCAGGCTGTATGGCCATATTGTAGAACCATTCTCTCCTGATGTTTCGCCTGCATCTATGGCAGGCATCTTCCGAGGTTTTGAGGTCTGTTGGAAACTAGGAAAATTGGGTTTATATATCTGTGGAAAGTCCAGGGTGGGACATTCAACTCTTGTCTGTTGGAGCTAGAGGTGTATGTCTCAGTTGGCCACCTTGATTAGCATTTGATGGCTTGACAGTTTTTAGGTGTACCTTGTTCCTGCCTGGAGGAATTCTTTGTTGAGAGGTGATTAGGTGTTCCTGATTGTTTCTTGTCTGGAGTTCCCCTGTGTTTGAGTTTTGTTCTTTATTAACTATTGTGATTTTAGAGCTTTTTTTTAATACTGGTAGCCGGATTTTGTTTATTTTCATGGTTTTTTCCTTTCTGTTGAAATTGTCCACATGCTTGTGGATTTCAATGACTTCTCTGTGTAGCCTGACATGGTAGTTGTTAGAGTGGTCCAGCATTTCTGTGTTCTCAAATAATATGCTATGTACAGGTTGGTTACCTCATGATAACAACCCATAAGACCATATTTTATCAGGAATTTAGGTTGTGTCGAGGAAGGTGGGAGGGAATGGGGTTACTGCTCGCTAGGGAGTGTTAGGGAGGGAGGGCTTTAGTTACTATATCATTCTAACCTAGGTGTCTGTATAACAACTATGGGAAAACTATGAAGTTTGGAAATCATGATGTGGCACTTTGTAGGCGTTTAATCTGTATTACTGTTTTAATTGTTTGAATTGTTTTATAATTTTATATGGTATGTTCATTGTTATGTGCATGATGTGGCATTGAATTTTTGCTGTAGTTTGTAAGCCGCCCTGAGTTCCCTTCGGGGTGAGAAGGGTGGGGTATAAATATAGTAAATAAGGAAATAAATAAATAAATAGGTTCATCAGGTGCTCTGCTATGGCTGACTTCTCTGGCTGAAGTAATCAGCAGTGCCTTTCACGTTCCTTGATTCGTGTTTGGGCAATGCTGCATTTGGTGGTCCCTATGTAGACTTGTCCACAGCTGTATGGTACATGGAGGACTCCTGCAGAAGTGAGAGGATCCCTCTTGTCCTTTGCTGAACATAGCATTTGTTGGATTTTCTTAGTGAATCTGTAGATTGTTGGTATGTTGTGTTTCTTCATCAGCTTCCCAATGCAGTCAGTGGTTCCCTTGATGTATGGCAAGAACACTTTTCCTCTGGGTGGATCTTTGTCTTTACTCTAGTTGCTTGTTCTAATTCACAATTGTTTGTGGCTAATTCACAATTGTTTTGTGAATTAGCAAAGTGACCACAGATTCTTAGCTAGTGGCTTAATTCAAACCAGAGGGAAAAAAGTGGCTCATCAGAGTCCATGGTTAAGAAATATGGAGCTCTCCAGATATACAGCCCTTTCCTTGAGGAGAGAAAAAGTGGGGTATAAATCATCATTATCATCATCATAGTGAGAAGCCATGGCAGCTCTAGCCTAAAATTCTCAGGAAGGTCACACCCAGCCCTTTTTTTTTAAACTATAGCTACAAATGTGTTCAGATCAGTAGTTTTGACAGGGCTATGAAGCCAAAGGTGAAAGAATATAGCACCCGATTCCTCTCAAACTGTTAATTCTTTGCTAAACCCCGTCACCTGTCATGTATAATGGCTGTTCAAAGCAGAATCACATCAGGAGTAGCAGTAACACAACCATTAGCCCTACAGCACCTGAGTGAGCATGTCGTACTGCCTTGGGATCTGCAACCAGAGTAAATCGTGGGTGTGTACAGACATAGACCGAAGGCTGTATATCCAGTCTGGCAGAGGGCGTGCCTCATCACTCACACACAGGAGATCAGAGTGTGAGGAAAGAGCAGCTGTCGGCAGTGGGACGTATGGCAAGGAGGGCTCCCTGAGGTTCTACATCAGGTCAAGAATTTTAGCTGCTGGTGGTGTTGTTTTGCATTGCCTTTTAAGTCCCAAAGAAGAACCAGGTGACATCCCACCTCACCTCAACCCCATTTGCAATCATGCTTCACTCTCCCGCTCCACTGAAAACAGCACTGGCCTATGAGTGCTTCCAGGATCAGGCCAATTCTACCCTCGCTTTGCCTTCAGATCACAAGCTGAAGACAAGGGGCACAGGAAAACAAAGGGTCCAGGAGCAGGTGATGATGACAGTGAAGCGGCAGAAGCAAAAGACATCGCTTTCATCAGCATCCAATGCAGCAGGTCACTCCAACCGAGGTAAATTCCTACCACTGCTCTGAATAGAGAGGACGGATATTCCCTTCGTGTGAGCTTGATGTTATGTGGGATTTGTCTTTATCTGTAAGAAACAACTTCAGGGGTTGTACTTTATTCTGTCTGTGGGATTTTGCTGTGAGGATGTAAGCAAGGTCTTTCAAGTCCTTGCAGGATAAATGTCTGTCTAGGGATGTTCAGATCCCAAACTTTAGATATTTTAACTTTTTAGTAATTCTCCAGATGAAAAACTTTCAAAACTAACAGTAACCAATCTGGTCAAATTTAACAACATTGAAGGACTACAGTTGGAAAGTTGTGGGTTGAGTTGAATGGTGGCTATGGTTGGGCTAAGTGCATATGCTTCTGCTGTGAAACTAAGGGCTGGAAATAAAAATCTTCCATCCTTTTTCAGCTTCAGAATACTGTGATGATTCTGTCCAAATGAAATATCCTGGAGCAAATAATTGACACAAGCACCCAAAATTGAGTATTTTTATTCCCACTGAATTATAAGAGAGTGAAGTGTTTTTATTAAAATTCAAATAAATTGCACAAAAGATGTGGAATGGATAAAATATCTTAAAGAATAGATGTTGGGATTACCTGATTTTCTGTTTAAATCTGCGAATCTGCAGTTGGGGCAGGTATGCATTCCTTAAGGAAAGTAATATAGCATCATGGATATATTTTGAAACTTACGGCTGTCAACGGAATGTTTTTATATATACTTATGTATTATCCTTTCTTCCAATACTTTGGAAGTTTCCCTTGGACAAAACAAATTAAAAATAAATAGAACTAAAAATATAGTAAATTATAATATTAAAAGCCCTATTTTCAATTATCAGATTTTTATCAGATTATCAAATTAAATACACAATCACGCTTCACTCTCCCGCTCCACTGAAAACAGTACTGGCCTATGAGTGCTTCCAGGAACAGGCCAAAAGATGGCTTGCCTGAATAAAAATGCATTTGCCAAATGTTATTATTATCTTTTTGTTCCACTAGCTTAAATGCACTGTGACTTTCCAGGCAAGGATTTCCTTTTATACAGTCCTTGTGTAAACTTTTGGTGTTACTTGATCTGCAAAGAATCTTACAGACAGAAACGACATTATCCAGCAGATGCAGTTAATCATAGTCTGAAGTTTGGTGCCTGTTCTCGGTCTGTAATTAGTATTATTAGAGTTATTGAACAAACCTGAAATCCTGGTGTCTGCCTCACCAATACATTAAATACAGAATGGGATCTTTAAAATCTAATTTTAGAGCACCTCAGACATGTGAGATATCATTCATCCAAGCATCTTTGTTTGTTTTTGCAGTGAATCAGCCAGGTTAAAAAAACATTTATGAACATCATTTAGATTCTTGTGACTCAGGTTGTGAGGAATTTATGTTCTGATCTACTCACAGCAGATGGCATATGTTGTAGTCAATTCTGAAGATGTAGCCATATGAATTAAGAACACTAATGAGAAGCAGCACACTATATAGCTGTATACAAAGTTCCTTGTGATCTTTAGGGAACAATGCTTTCTTTCTTCTCAAAGGAAGTTTTTTGGTTGTTTGCAATGTGGACTCTGAATGTCGAACAGTTTGTTGTTTGCGGGTATTTGGTATGTCAGCACTCTGAGAATTTAAAAACAGTTTGAAAAGTGTTAGGATTTTTTTTTCAATTTTAATTGGTGACAGTGTTTTGAGTGCTCACCAAGTGTTTTTATCCTACCAATGGCTTGCTGCAATCTTGGAATTTGGCTGCAGGAGGGGATAACTGTATTTTACATTGCTCACTTTCCCATATTTTCCAGTCACTTTGTTTTCTTAAATTGAAGGAAACGATGGCATAGCTTCACAGTGCTTTTTGATAGTTAACACTCAGAGCCCTATGTTGAGAAACACCCATTATTTTTAGTGTTATTTTGCACTTGTTCTATAGAAACAAGGCTTTCATTCCAGAAATGGCATAGTTTTTTTTGTGAAAGAAAAGTTTGCAGTTGAGTGAACCAGATTGCAAATGGGGAAATATTTTCATTCATGACCACTTAACAAAACTACAAAAAACTTGGTATGATTAGATCTTTGTTATTCTGAAACCATAAAGCAAGCTAGACTTATTGAGTAAGAGTATTTGCCGGGTGTTTTTTTTTTTCATTCGCCATTATGTTTGCTAGATTCTGTGCTATAGAAACCAAATCTTCAGTAGCTACAGTAAGTCAAGGGAAGGGTTTTGCTGCAGGTTAAGAGTGAGTTCTTGCTGTGGCACTATGTTTGTGCATACAACCACCATTCTATTCACTCTGTCACTTTTTTCATGCTTGCATAGCAGAGAATGACATGGGGATGGTGGGAGAAGGCTGCCAATTCTGTGCCACTTGTTTCTAGTGTCCCTGGTCTCTGGTGGTATTCCTGGAATCAGTGGAGTATGAAAAGGCTGATATGGACAGTCTCCTCTCTGTCCCATTCTGTCTTGGCTCTGTGGGTCTCCTGGAAGTCAAAGTTTCTGATGGTGCAAAGCTGGAAGCCTTCTCCTTCTACTGCTTATGATGGCTGCCTTTTTCCCTTGTTCCTCTCGCAACCATTACATGGGGACAAGCCTATATGTTGTCTCCATAGTCTCCTCCAGCTTGTTAGGCCACTGCTAGAATTTACAGGATCTGACTTTTACGAAAGCGAATATTTTTTCTCAAGAGCAAATTTAGATTTTTTTAGAATTCAAAGACACAACCATTTTAGTTTGGAATGTTACTATGCAAAGGGCTCTTGTAGCATTTTAGAAACCGAGAGAACCAAATCGGTAGCATAGCTCTTCATATACTGCATCGCTGAGCATCATCACACGAGAGAAAAAAGTCCACTTAAAATCCGGTTTCCGCCTCCTGCAGAATTCTGGGTTTTATAGTTTGGAGAGGAGCCTTTGATAGCCTCACTAAACTACAAACCCCAGAATTCTGCAGGAGACAGAAACCGGATTTTAAGTGGAGTTTTTTCTCTAGTGCGATGTGAAAATGGACAAGTGTATGATGCTTATCTTACTACTTTCATTCTCTTGGCCTCTAAATTGCTATACAATCTCTTTACATTCTGTAGTTTAGTTAGATTAGAATGCAGACCTGAGCCATATGCAGCCCTCTTCTACTCCACTTTAAAGTTGGAAGAGGCACCCATTTCCCTTCACAGCCCTCGGTTTTTGTGCTGTGCTGTTTTCCTGTGTAATTAGACAAGAGAAAACAGCAACCTTGGCAGAGATTTTTGAAAAATGTAAGACATTTCACCTTCATCACACAGTTCGAGAAATCTGATGGGTAGGAATGGAGACTATTAAATGTCTCCATCCTTCTGCTCTGGGCTGTGGTGTGTAACTATGTTCATTTGCAGGGGAGTGGACCTGTTCTTACAAATGTGCACTAGGTGAATCCAAAAAAAGTTGTGCTGTTGTGATTTACAGCTGTGAAAGCCATGGCTTTGTGGTCTGGATTTCATTGCAGAAATAATAGAGAATTCTTAGGATTATGTTGGTTTTCATTTTCAAAATGTAAATTACAAGAGATTTGGAAAAGATGATTTTATAAGGAAGAAGCTCAATGTTAATAGGGAGATAGAGATTTTCTCCCTACTTATTAGAGATTATATTCCATAAGAGAAATAGAGCAAAGATCAAAAGCATGGCATATTTGTTTTTGTTACCCACTTATAAGAAGAAAGGAAAGCTGACTTCGCAGAAAACTTATTGGAATAGAAATAGAGTGTCTCATTATCATTCCTGCCTCACAATTCTTCTACAAATATAAAGTTGCAAAAAAAAAAGCTGTTTATTTATTTACAGTATTTGTATACCACTTTTTTCACCCTGAGGGGGACTCAAAGCGGTTTACACATAGGTAATGGCAAAATTCAATGCCAGTACAAACAATTACAATTATACAATACAATTAGACATAAATCAAGTTAAAAACAGTATATCCACAAGCAATAAAACAATCATTAAAACAATAAAACAGTCTTGTCCGTCTGTTTCCCCCATTGTTTGTCTATGGAAAGGAGTCCAGGAACAAGGATAGTGAGGAAAATAATATGCAAAAACAATCACTCATCGCTGACCTAATTGCAATGGGAAATTCTGGTCCAAAAATTACTTTCCAAGTCTGCTTTTCAAATCATGCTGGAGAAAAGGAAGCTAGAACTTGATGTGATAGAAACAAATGTGTGGGACCTTCTATGACATCACTATAACAAAACTGCTATAGGCCAGCCCTATGATTTTTTTTTTAGTTCTATAAAATAGGTCTATTTTTACTTATTAAGGGTTTGATTAATAAAAGCTTGGTGTGATTAATAAGGCTGACCTCACTACAGAAAGTAAATGTGATAACAAATGTATCACTTTGGTATTTAAGATATAGTTCAGCAATACTTACAAATTTATTTTGATGGATGAATCAGTGTTTTTTCAATCTGTAACAGTGTTGCATGGGTTTTATAAGTAAGTCCAGATCTATTTTTGCTATTTTTGAAACCATATGTAAACTGTACATTTAAATTTTATGCTAGTCTTCCTTCCAGGCTCCTATTGTATACACATTTCTATGTGGAAAACTGCACTATGACATTTGGAGGATCTATCCCCAAGAATGGTGAATCCTTGAGTTCTGAAATTAATTAAAGTATTTACTCAAAATACACACTGAACCAAATGTCTAATATTTCATTTCTTTTCTTAAGCCTGTAATTATTTCAAATTTAACCCTCAACTTTCTACCTCATGTTATTCCAACTGTAGTCACAATTCAGCCTGATGGAAGATTTTTTTTTTCACAACAGAGGAGCAAAATTTGCAAAATATAATATAAGGGTCAGTAGATAAATACTTATACCGAAATACAATTATCTTTTAAGCTCATATACACAAACTCAGTGAATTTGTTTCAGATTAGTTTACACAATAAAACATGTGATTTATAATAGAATAGTATTTTTTCCAAATGTATGCAGACATT